TCCTCATGGGTTTTTCCTACCGCTAATATAGCGGTATCGTCTGCAAAGGTAGCTATAGTATTAAGATCTGAGTAGTGTAAATCACTGGTGTATATGAGGTACAGAAGAGGTTCTAGGACACTTCCCTGTGGCACCCCTGCTCTGATTTTTTAAATTTCACTGAATGCTTCTTCTTGTTTTACTCTGAAGGCTCGGTCCAAAATGTAGGATTCCAATAGTTTCAAGTATTTTTATGGGAGTAGCATATTTAGCTTATGTTTCAGCCATACCATACCCTGTCAAAGGCCTGCGATACATCAAGGAAGATGGCTGAGCATACTTCCTTACTTTCCAGTGCTCCTTCAATCACATCTGAAATTATGTGTACTTGGTCTATCGTTGAGTGGTTTTCTGTGAACTCAAACTGATGATTTGGTATTATATTCCTTTCTTCGATGATGGGTTTCAGCCTTGTCAGGAGCATTTTTTCAAACAGTTTCGATATCATAGGCAGTAGAGAGGTTGTCCTATAAGATGAAACATCGTGAGAGGGTTTGCCTGGTTTATGAATCATAATGATTTCAGCTATTTTCCACATCCTAGGAACATACCTTAATCTGAATAAGGCATTAAAAAGATATGTAAGTTTGGTTATAGCTTTTTTCGGGAGCGGTTTTTGCACTTCACCAGTAATTAAATCAAAGCCAGGAGCTTTCTTAGGATTAATGTTTGTATTTATTTCCTTTGCTACTTCTTTTGTGAAAGTTGGTCTAATGTTCGTGCTATCGCCGTCAGAGAAGTCCCAGTTCGGCAATTCTTCGCCATCGTTTGGTTGAAAGATTTTTTCAAGATCTGCAAACCTATTGGCTTTCTGAGTATTGTTTCTAGCCCAGCTGCCATCTGCATTCCTAATTGGTGCGTTCTGTAGTATCGGACTTTTTAATATCCTAGTGGCTTTCCAGATTGAGTAGTCGGTGCTTTTGTCATTTGTCAATTCACTCAAATAGTCACTAATAGATTCATTTTTTATTATTTCTATTTCTCTCTTTAACTGTTGAGTGACATTATTGAGTACGGTTTTATCTGCTGGAGCTCTGGTCTGGTGCCATTTCATCCTAAGTTTTCTTTTCTCTGAGATCAAGTGTCCTACTTCCATGGGGTATTTGTTTCCTTTTGTTCTCTGAACAATGGATGGGGTGTTATTCCATGCTGCTTGTTGAATTAGGGTAACAAGATTTTCCACTTCATCATCCAACTCTTCTATTGTTCTTAATCGAACACTTAAATTAATAGCATTTTCAAGTTCTAATCTGAAACTTTGCCAATCTGTTCGCCTGTTTGTTAGTCTAGGAGAATTTTGTTTTTGGATA